AGGCTGGAGTGCAATGGCCTGATCTCCTTCTCCTGGGTTCAAGTGATTCTCCTGCCTCAGCCTCCCGAGTAGCTGGGATTACAGGTGCGCAACACCATGCCTGGCTAATTTTGTATTTTTAGTAGAGACGGGGTTTCTCCATGTTGGTCGGGCTGGTCTCGAACTCCTGACCTCAGGTGATCCACCTGCACTGGCCTCCCAAAGTGCTGGGATTACAGGCGTGAGCCACTGCACCCAGCCTCCTTCTTGTCTTTTAAAACCCATCAGCCTTTGCAGACACTTTTCAAGCTGGTTTCACTTAAAACGAATGTGTGTGAGTGACACTGGAGAATTGTTGAAATTAAGGTTGAGGTCCTATGAACTCTAATACATGACCATTTTGTTGAAATTACCATGAGTAAGAGACACTCACCACCTTAGTGCATGCTTGCCCTTGTTCTGAGTCTTTCTGTGTATGTTTGTAGGTATATGATGTGTGTGTGTGTATGTCTTGGTTTGTGTTTTTTGCTGGACTATTTGGAGTTATTGTAGATATGATAGTCATAAGTATTTTAGTATGTATTTCCTAAAACAAAGAGTTGTTCTGCATTGCTACAGTACTATTATTACATCCTTAAAATTTAACCAGTTGTCCCAATAAGTCCTTGATTATTTTTTAGTGGTGGTTTTCCTTTTTATATTTTCTATATTTTGATCCAGGAACCAATCAAGGATCACATAATTTCATCTTGTTGTCATGTTGCCTTAGTCACTTTTCATCTAGAACAGGCTCCCACTCTTTTTTTATTTTTAAGAATCCAGGCCGATTGCTTTGTTTTAGGCCAGCTGTCTTGTAGAATTCATTTGTCTGATTATCTCCTTGTGATGTGATTCAGGTTAGACATCTTGGCACGAATACTGCGTAGATGAAATGGTTCAATGGGAGGTTCCTAACATCATGAGGCACGTTAATGATGAGTGCTTCCGTTACTGGGGATGTTAAATTTGATCACTTGCTTAAGGTGGGGACAAAATAGTTCCAGAATGCCTACATCAATATTGCTACCAACAGCAAATCTACTAAGGAAAGGTCAACATTTCTTTATAGTTCTTTCTGCCCGTAGACTGTATCTCAGATAAGGGTTTACAGTTTAAGTACTCTGTTCAAATGTTAGTTGTTCTCTCTATGGTTATATTAGGAATTTGACATATAGTTAGCTCCATTTGTTTCTCTTTATTAAAGTTACATTTTCATATTTGATTTTTCTTTTTTGATTTATATTTTGAATATGCAATATGGTTCATAATCAAAAGTATAAAAATAAATACTCCATTTCCATTCCCTATCCTTTTCACCCCATTTCCACCCACTCTCATACGTAATCATTTGAATTTATTTTTGGCTTATCTTTCTGTTTTTCTCTTTACAAAAACAAGCAAATATATACATATTCTTTTTTCCCTTCTTTCATATCCACAAGGTGGTGGGATGCTAATATTTTGTTGTAAATGGGTTGAAAGTGATCATAAAGCACAGTGGATTCTAGTCTGAAGACAGTAAGAGCCAGTGGGATTTAGCCAGAGCATATGCATGGCCTTGACTGCCTGTCTCTAGCCTGTTTGTCCTTCAGGATGCAGCTCAGTCATCACCTCCTCTGGGAAGTGTTCGTTAACTCTCTCCCCAATTTCCTGCCCCAAATTAGGTACCCCTTTGGCCTTTTATCACTGCAGTACCCAATCTCTGTCATAGCAGTTAATGGTATTGTAGTTTTTGGTTTACTTGTCTTTCTCCTCTATTGGACAAAGTCTTTGTCTTTTACCTCTGTATTTCCTCTGGGCAGCAAAACACGTGGCATAGAGTAGTAGCTGCAAAATAAATGTTGTATGAGAGCATAATCTACATGTATGTGTGCCCTTAAGGTAAGTGACCTGGCATTACAGAGTAGCAGGAGCCACATGCTTTCCGAGAGCTTTGTCTTATACTCGGATTTGCTGGAGTGACTTTTATATTGATGCAAATAATATGAAATACCTAAAATTGTTTTATACAGCAACAAGCAGAAGTGGGAGTGTGTCCGATTTTAAGAATAAGCTTCTCTGGCCAGGTGCGGTGGCTCACGCCTGTAATCCCAGCACTTTGGGAGGCTGAGGTGGGCGGATCACGAGGTCAGGAGATCGAG